AAAATCACTCACAACTCACAACTCAAAAATACACACAAAAGCTAAAATTCTTTTTCTAGCTCACTCTTTTTTTCTTTCTTCTTGTGTTGTTGTATTTTTGTTGTGTGTCTCTGTTCATCAAATGCTCAGCTATTTATAGAAGAAAATAGCTCCAATTTGTCAACAAATGGCAGCTTAATTCTTCAACACACGGCTGCTGCAATATTTTAATAATAGTGTGCTGAATTATTTTTCTTCTTCTTCAGCTTTCAAAAGGGATGGGCGCAGCCCCCTTTTTTTGACATAACAATCTCCCACTTGAGGACTGATTTCAATCTGTCCTCACACCTCAATTACTGCAGTAGTCATCTTCGGTCTGTTACTCTAGCAGTCCAACTGAAGTTGAGCACAACTTCAGTTTGTCAATGGTCACCACCTTCGTTAGCATGTCTGCTGGGTTCTTGCTTCCTACAATCTTCTTCAAAGTCAACACTTCATCCTCAAGCAGAGATCTGATGAAATGATATCGCATGTCAATGTGCTTAGTTCTGGAGTGAAACACTGAGTTCTTTGCCAGATGTATTGCACTCTGACTGTCACTGTGCAAGACACTCTCTTTCTGAGTGAAACCCAACTCTGCTAACAATCATTGAAGCCATATCAATTCTTTGCTGGCTTCTGTTACTGCTACATACTCAGCCTCTGTAGTGGATAGAGCAACAATCTTTTGTATCCGCGACATCCAACTAACAGCTGTAGCCCCGACAGTGAAAACATAACCAGTGGTGCTTCTCCGGTGATCAACTTCACCTCCGAAGTCTGCATCTACGTAGCCCTGTAACTTTAGATCTCCATTTCTAAAATACAGACACTTTTCTGTTGTGCCTCCTAGATATCTCAAGATCCATTTGACTGCTTCCCAATGAGCTTTTCCTGGTTTTGACATAAACCTGCTCACAACTCCCACTGCATGGCCAATGTCTGGCCTCGTACAGACCATCGCGTACATCAAACTTCCAATGGCTGAAGCATAAGGAATCTTAGCCATAAACTCTTCTTCTTCCTTTGTTTGAGGAGACTGATCCTTGGATAGATGAAAATGGCTGGCCAAAGGTGTACTCACTGGTTTGGCCTTGTCCATGTTAAATCTCTGCAAAACACGGTTGATGTACTCTGCCTGAGATAACTGCAAAACTCCCTTTTGCTTATCTCTCGTGATCTGCATTCCAAGAATCTTCTTTGCTGGGCCTAAGTCCTTCATGTCAAATTCATTTGACAACTGCATCTTTAAATTTCTGATGTCTTTCATATCTGATCCCGCTACTAACATGTCATCGACATAAAGTAGCAATATGATATAGCTGGACTCATATTTCTTGAAGAAACAACAGTGATCAGCATTGCACTTCTGGAATCCTTCCTTGTGCATGAAGCTCTCAAACTTCCTATACCACTGTCTTGGAGCTTGTTTCAGGCCGTACAAGCTCTTCTTCAATCTGCACACCATATCCTTCTTTCCGTCTGAAAAACCTTCAGGCTGGTGCATATAGATCTCCTCGTCTAGGTCTCCGTGAAGAAATGCAGTCTTCACGTCTAACTGCTCTAGGTAGAGCTCTTCACTAGCCACAATACTTAACACAGTCCTGATAGTATTGAGCTTTACAACTGGAGCAAAGATTTCAGTATAGTCAACTCCTTCTTTCTGCTGAAATCCTTTGACAACTAGTCGGACTTTGTATCTCCTGGAACCATCATGGTCTTCCTTCACCCGATACACCCATTTGTTGTGAAGTGCTTTCTTTCCCATGGGTAACTTGACTAGTTCCCATGTCTGATTTGAGATCAAGGACTTCATCTCGTCCTTCATGGCAAGCTCCCACTTGCTAGCATCTGGGGTTTGACAAGCCTCCTTATATTCTTCAGGTTCTCCTCCATCGGTCAACAACATGTAGTCCATGTATCTCCTGTTAGGTACATGGGGCCGAGAGGACCTTCTCAATACAGGAGTTGGAGTAGAAGGTTCTGATTGCTCACTGCTTTCTTCATTTGATTCCTCTGACCGAGGATTCCTTATTACAGGAATGTCTGGGATATCTTCCACCTCTGCATAAACTGGCCCACTCGCTTCTGAGTTGCTGGCACTTGTGTTATGTCGGTCCTTGTACATCACTCTTTCATTAAAGATGACATCTCTGCTGCGGATCATCTTTTTGGTTTCATCATCCCATAAACGGTAGCCAAACTCATCTTCACCATAACCAAGGAAAGTACATTTCTTTGATTTTGGATCAAGTTTGTTTCTACCTTGATCACTGATGTGCACATATGCTACACACCCGAAAACTCTAAGATGTGAGAGTTTTACTTCTTTTCCGCTCCATACCTCTTCTGGTAACTTGTGATCCAGTGGTACCGATGGACTTCGGTTGATCAAGTAAGTTGCTGTGTTGACTGCTTCTGCCCAGAACTGCTTTGGTAGGCCTGACTGCACACGCAAGCTTCTGGCTCTTTCAGTCAACGTTCGATTCATACGCTCAGCTACACCATTGTGTTGAGGCGTACCAGGCACGGTTCTCTCCATTCTGATCCCGTGCTCATAGCAAAACTTCTTGAATCTGGTGGTTACGTATTCACCACCATTGTCGGATCTGAGCTTCTTGATCTTCAAGCCTGTCTCATTTTCCACCATAGCTTTCCAAATCTTGAAAGCTTCAAATACTTCTGACTTGTGTTTCAGAAAGTAAACCCATACCTTTCTGGAATGATCATCGATAAAAGTCACGAAGTATTTCTTCCCACCAACGGATGGGACAGTCGTTGGACCCCAAACATCAGAGTGGACGAGCTCAAGCTTCTCCTTCTTTGGGGTTCTTCTACTTGTCTGAAAGCTGACTCTCTTATGCTTTCCAAGTATACAGCCTTCACACATGTCAATTTCTATTGACTGGAGGCCTGGTAATTTTCCTTTTGAGTGAATGATCTTCATCCCTTTTTCACTCATATGCCCAAGTCTTTGGTGCCATAGGTTGGGACTTTCATTTGTTGCAACTGCAATCAGATGACATGCTCCTGTGGTCTTGTAAAGAGTACCACTCTTTTTGCCTCGAGCAATTGTCATTGCACCCTTTGAAATCTTCCAATCATCACCATGGAAGATTGTCGTGTAGCCTTCACTGGCTAGCTGGCCTACGGAGATTAAATTCTTTGTCAGGTCAGGAATATGTCTGACATTTCTCAATTCCCAAACAGACCCATTCAACTTGATTTTTACTGCACCTTTGCCGACAACCTCACATGATTGCTCATTACCAAGGTAAACTTTACCAAGATTTCCAGGAACATAATTCTCGAATAGTTCCTTCTGTGAGGTAGCATGAAAGGATGCTCCAGAGTCTAACACCCAAGACTCTTCTCTGTTCTCCAAAGAACATATCAGCGTGTCTCCACCTGAGACTGAAGCAATATTTGCCTCTTCTTTTGTCTCCTGGCCCTTCGGTGCACTCTTGCACTGGTTTCTGTAGTGCCCGGTCTTCCCACAATTCCAGCACTCGATCGACTTCGAGTTTTGGGAACCACGATGATTTCTGGACCTGGATCTTCTTCCCTTTGATTTGATATGTCTGCTTTCTTTAGTTGAACTTCTTCCTCTCGACTCTGTATGCAACACAGAAGAGGTCGATGGTTCACCCGACTCCCTCCGTCGGATCTCTTCACTGAGAACCAAATTTTGGACATCATCAAATCTCAACTTATTGCTTCCCGATGAGCTACTCACAGCTGTGACTGTAGCATTCCAGCTTTCTGGTAGGGAAGACAAAAGTATTAAAGCCCGTACTTCATCATCGAACTCGATCTCAACTGAACTCAACTGAGTTGTAACGGTGTTGAGCTCATTGAGATGATGTGCCACCGAAGCACCTTCCGTCATACGCAAGTTGAACAATCGCCTCATTAAATGAACTTTATTTGAGGCTGATGGTTTTCCGTACATGTTGGAAAGAGCCTTCATGAGGCCTGCTGTCGTCTTTTCTTTTGCAATGTTAAAAGCAACATTA